GAAGCCAGAAAAGCCTGGTTTTTCGACCCCGAAAAGTGGGGCCGCAGTTTCAATTAAGATTATTGGGAACAGTGCTCAATGCACCAGTCGTGTGAGCTCTGTGCAGTTGCGTGAGTCGTGTGCGTTGAATTTTGGTATTATTGAATACGATTCCTAAGTGAAGTAACTTGGTTGAAATGTGTGGAGAATAATTGATATGGATGGCTCCGAACTTCGTTTTAGGGAGCCTCATTTTTATGTGCGTGTACCATCTTCCCGTTTTAAATGGTGTGCCAGCCAGGCCTTCAGTGGCACAGGGTAAGCATGATGTCCTGACATGTATTTTTGTTTGATATCTGATTTTTCAAAGGACAAATATCGGTATGTTCATTTAATCAAATCTCAACACCATTCCGGGGTTGGTGTGTCCAGCAAGCGCATCTATATGAAAGGCATGTGGTGGCTTGAATTCGATATTTTTGCGGTCAAGCTTTCGTCGTGAAAATCATCAACAAGATCACGTACCCAGTGCCTGCATGCATCATGTCTTTCCATGTTTATCTTGTGGTAGTTCAGCGCTTTTGTCCAGGAGAATTTGTTACATGCCGGATAAAATTTGACATGGTCATCAAATTCCTTTTTGCAGCGCAGCTTTGAGCTTGTGTCAAGCAGTGCCGGCTGCAATCCTTCGAATGACTCATGCATGGTTGACCGGTCCATAGTTTTTGTTTGTAAATTGGCATTGACATTAAAAGTTCAACTTCAACAAGTGTTCTTCTTGCTTTTGCAAACACGTTCGATGCTGTGAGTTGTGTATGCCATGCTCCTTTGTGTACTTGCCTGTGCGTAACAAACATTTGTTGACATTTTTTGTTTGGCTCCATGACCTCCCATCCGCCTGTAGACATTCCACAGCATGATTGGTTCTTTCATTCAGACATGCACTGAGTTTGCTGACGAGGTTCATTGCGGCATATTTTGAGTAGTCCGATATAAACTACAACCCACGCATGAGATGCGGTGTGATTATGTGGATCCGTTCATGGAACAGCATTTACGGTGCTTGAAGAATACTAACTAGCAAGCCAACATTTCTAATGCAGCATGGTCGGATTGGGCGTGCGCATGGGGGTGAGTGCCATGATGACAACGGTTCTTGTACGCCTTGAAAACATGTCATCTGGCAAAGACATGGGCAGATAAACCATGTGTGCCAGGTTGTTAACAACAATCCCGACAATTTGCCAGCCTCTCAATCCAGGTGCGCAGCAGGCATGGTGAAGTTCTGGCAGTGTGCATGGTATTGTGGAAGCACCATGCAAGTGATGTCGATTCCGATGTACCGGCTGGTTCAAACGCAAAAACACAAAAGTTGATTCAACGTCAACAGCAAGTCCATGTTTTGGACATATTTTCAGAGCCTGTTTATGTGGGCGGAAGACGTTTCTGTGCTTGCCGTCTTGTAGCACTGCACATTTGCTGGTTGGAAGTCTTGGAGAGCTATGCATGATGCATGGCCCAATCTGGGGCAAATGATGTGGCAATGGCTGCTGTTTGGACGAATTCTTCTAAACTGCTTCAGCTTCAAGCAGCGAGAGCTGCCAAGATCATAGGCCGCAATGATGACGGATTTTGAAGTTTCCCGTCATGAGTCTCGTAAAGGCATTGCTGTGTTCCGCGTTCACGGCAGCTGTCATTCGAACTTCTTGCAGGTGTTTGGGAATAATGTCGGTGACCACCCCCCAATCGCTTCTCTTCACGTGGCTGCAGAGAAACAGGTCCAGCACTTCAGACGTCACTGACACCAGAACTGTATGAAGCTGGTGTTTTCTGAGGTTTCTTGCAATTTTGGATGACAATGAGTTGCTCTCTGTGGTACAGATGATGGAGCTCTGTGTCATTAGAGATTATTGGAAGTAATAGCTGCAGTCAGTCACCCTTACTTGAGCCAGCTCAGCAGGAGGAGATTCCAAATGCTGTTGGACATCTTCTAGAAGAGGGAACAGTCCCGGATGCAGTTTACGTCGTTCAGGTGTCACCACTTGCTTGCTTGTGCTTCGAGGTTGCCTTGCTAAACCAATGCAGTTGTGTGATTGCATCAAGCTCGGGTTCAGGAGGGATCTCTGCATTTGACTGTGGCAGGGAGGTCCGCATGGCTGGGATTTCTTTCTTGAAGCTGCAGACTTTCGTTAAGCAGCTGAGAATCTTCGGGCAGGCTTCTGGAAGTTCTTGATCGCGGTGCTTGTGTTGGCATTGAAGGCGTGTTCTCGGCTCAGAAGCTGCGATCAGCACGCGATCAGCGGTGAAGGCAACCGGTGCCTGCACTGAGGCTTCGGGGCACTCAGGCCCATACTGTTGCAGTCGAAGGACGTGCAGCCGTTTGGCGTGGAGATGGTGGCAGCATCTCAAGGCAAGGGGGCAGTTCCTCACGTGCCTTGAGCTTGTCTTGTACAGGCTGTTGCAAGCGAAGACATCGAAGCATCGGGCTCAGATTTTGTGTAAGGTTGAACCGGTTGTACCGTTTGAACTGACATACCTTTGTGCACAGCACAGCTGAGGGTCAAAGCGGAGACGCGGTCTTTCGGCTTTGCTTGGTTGCTCGCTTTTTGCCGGATGCGGAGCAACCTTGTCCGCAGCATTCCGTTTGCCTTGCTTTGTGGCATTATGTACTGTCAGGAAATTCGTCGACCGCGTGCGTTTGTTTGACTTCCTGCCAGATGAGAAGAAGGCAGCTTGCGAGCTTCTTCCAGTGGGCAGTGAACATGTCAGTCCTCTTGTTTGTGATGCCTTCTAGAACTTTCAACGTCCTGATGGGCTGCAGGACTGTCTGTCCTCCTTGAAAGTGCATCATGAGGCGTAGCTTTGTGCAAATACTAAAAGCCGTGAGTCCACTTCGCTTGAGGTTCTTCGTGCTGGTGAGAAGGTACATGACTCGGCCCTTCTTGTTTGGATGAAATCGGACTGTACATTTGCATTTCAAGGCCATGCGCAAGGGTGAAGTGCCCCTCGCGATTTTCATTGTCAAAACGGGCAGGTGCAAGAAGCTGTAGTTCAGTTGCCGGTTCATTGTCTTGTGCACGCAGTAATTGCTACAGATGCTTTACAGATGCTGGGAGGCTTTCTGGAAACATTGGTCAAAGCCTCTCTCCTTATTTGGGCGGACAGCGTGGTACAAGGAGGTGAGCATTGGACAGACACCATGTGATCTTTGGTCTCAAGCAGCCCCTCCTCGTCAGGGCATGGACATATCTGCCGGGAGAAGTTATTGGTGCGGGTGCATACCTGTCTGGACGGTTGCAGGGGCCTGTGAGGTGCCTGTTCTGCGGTTCTGTTGTTATTCTTACCAGATCTGTGTGTTCCTCCAGTGCATGCTGGAACTACTTGACTGAAGCTCAGGACGGATGTGACTGCCGAGACGGACTGTATGCTGCTCTCCCTAGACATCGAGCAATTGCTTGAGGCGAGCAGGGAGTTGCAGTAAGCCATTGTGAGCAAAGAGGGAACGCAGAGTCCCTGGCAGCTCTTGGGGAATGACCTGAAAGAGTGCCTGCAGCGCGCCTTCATGGCCTCTTGTCGGCATGGGAGCCTGTGGGATCACAAAGCAAAGCTTGAGCCTGTGGGCTGTCTCAAGGTCTTTGGGCTGAACCAGCTTCGATTCCTTGCCGGTCTGACCGCCACACAGAAGCAGGTCATCGTCAGGGCAATGGAGGCCTTGCTAGAGCCCGCAGTACATCGCAGTACAGGGCTGCCTCAGTGTGAGTTCAGGTCAGAGACTATCAGCCCGGCGAGCAAGTATCTCTGGACGTGCAGACCGAGCCCTAGGCTAGCTTCATGCAATTCAGATGGATCGCTACCCAAAGTGCAGCAGAATGCTCGACCCGTATAAGGTTTGCAATGGTCTTCGACGGTACCTTGATCGTGCAGCAGGGAAAGTGTCCAGTGCTGGTTGAAGCCTCAATGCCCAGTCTCTGTCTAGCAACCATACTTGTCCCGTACAATGGAACATGCAGTAAAGAGTTACTCAGGCTAGTTAGGGACATTTTAATTTTTGTGAACATGGATTCAACTGCTAAATGATGGTTGCCGATCAAACGATGATCTTTCCACAAGCAAAAGTCTTTCCATACCCAGGTCGGCACTGAAATAGTCAAGCCCCATCCTTCCAATCAATTCTCACAGCCTGTCATCATGTAATTGTCCTCTGACATCAATGATATGTAAATGTAGGATGTTTTGAAGCATTCAGCAGATTACTTCCATGTTAACAGGCTCTGTCAGCAGAATTTAGGAGTCAACGGCCTGGTTTGTCTTGATATGTTTTCTGCTTGGCTGTTTATCCTACATGGAATTCGCTGCTCACGCAGACTGGACACTGCAATAGGGATTTTGCCAGCGAAGGTTCCACTAGGATTGGGATGATTAGGCCAGTCGTTTGATGTCTTCGATGCATAGCTTGTCAGTGTTGTCTTGCACTTGTTTGCCGATGAGAAGCTTGCAGACAGACCCACTTTGGTATGTGTTTCTGGTAAGGAGCTTGGCTTCGCGGATCATTATTTTGATTCGACGCTGTTTTCTGCCCAGGCTGCAATGCATGTGCCAGCATGCCTTTTTGGCTTTCAGCTTTTGAGCCCATCATGTTTGACAGGATGATGCAGAGAGAGCTGATGATGAGTTCAAGGAACCATCCTCACATCACTTATTCATGGAGATGAGCATCGACAAGTTGAAGTGTACGCTTGCAAGAGTGCATCATGCCGCAGGATGCCAGTGACCTGAGTGACGAGGGAAAGGCAATCAAATGCTGCATTTGAGTGCTTTCCGGCCTGCGGTCAATTGCAGATGCACCGTTCAGTTTAACAGAGCAGTGCTTGAACATGACTCACATGGGTAGGTCTCAAAATCGTGCGCCCTTTTGGTTGTCTGATACAACATGTCAGAATTCAACGGAATGCAAAGTCAGCAACGTTTGCATCAAGAATCTGAAGCACAGAGTCCACTCGGAGCATTCACAAAACCCGACAAGAATGCGTTTTTCAAAAGCAACGAGACCTGACCTTGCAGAAGCCGAAGACAGCCATTATGGAAGCTCTGTCAGGTTTGAAGTTCGTGACCGAAGACTAAACACCTCCACTGCAACAAGTCTTCCTCACCAATGGAGAATTTCTTGAGGTTTGCACTGAATCCTCCAGTGCATTAAATCTCTGCCTTGATCACCTTTTTCGATGCCTTGAGATGGGAAGGAGAACCGGCAGACTACTGTAGACACTGTCTCAGGTAAGTATGCGAATAACGTGAAGCCAATGTGCCTTACCGTTGCCACTTGATAGGGAGCAAGGGCTCGGAAACAGCAGGTGAGCTGATTATCAACTTGATTTCGAGTCACATCTCAGAATCTAGACCTTAAGACCTGGTTATGTGAGCAAACCAGTGGATGCATACTCCTGTCCCTATGCTTGTGTCATGCGCTTTGCATGTTCATCGAACAGACTGGAACAAAAAACAGTTTTTGCTGCAGCTTTGGGGTTGCAGCCATGCGTGCAAACTCCACGGATTTGGCGAAACGATGGTCGAAATGAGGTGCCAGCCCCTCAAGCATCAACAGCAACCAGGCTCGAACCGTCTGCCGTTGCTCCGGAAGACCTTCTCACTCAAAAGTCCAATTGTGAAACTACGTGGGTGCTTCGGCCTTGTTCGGCTCAAACAGCCCATTACAAGGCCGAAAGCCAGTATGCGAAACAAAGGCTCTTTGCACAAGTTTGCCTGGTCGGAAGGAGCGATGTCTACACTGGTTTTCCAGGTGGCCCGGCTGCGCTTTTTTTGCAGTCTGGTCCACACCAGTGGCCACGCTGTTGCTGTGCCTGTGGCATTGCGGTTGGACTCTTCCCGGCTTCCTTCTTATGCAGACTGTGTTGCATTTGGCGAAGCATGTATAAGCTCGAAAGAGCACGAGGAGGGCTGCAGGTAATTCTACTTACCCTTCTCGAATTCCCTGTGTGGGAGGCTCTCTAGCCTATGCTTGGTCAAGTGGGGGGCCGATGCGGGGCATTGTGAATCCATTGGGCGCTCTTTTGGTCCGTATGGGCGCCCACCCCCACTTGCTGGTCCTGCATGGTTCGGCAGCAAACAACCGGAAGCTCTGGGGCGTGTCGGGGCAGCGGAGCTCCCAATGACGTTTATTGGGGGGGCTGAGATTGCATAGCGAGCCGCTCGAGCCCCATACTCCACACCGCACCACACCAAACA